CGGGTGTACCCGGCTATATACTATCGCTGGATGGCTATTAGAGATCCATTGATAGGATGTTTTTTTCTACCGTGCACCGTTAAAGACTAGATGAACACCTAATCTCAACCAGTCCTCTAATCCCGAATAGGTATGTGTTAAGCGGTACAAGTGGCTCAATCTAAAGAGCAGCAGTAGCCCTGTACTCGTCATATGTCTGAATGATTGACGGGGTTTCCCTGCCCCAGTTAACCCCGCATAATATCACTAGGATCCACTGTCAAGTTCTATCTTCTGCTTCTCCAACCAATTCCTTAATTTCGCGTGCCCCGGGCAACTTCGCATACTGTAACCAGCGTCAAACATCATCTGGCCTTCCAAGGTATATGGCGTGCCCAAAATTTGTGGCCGCGGGGACTGATGTAATTTTCTTTTCCCCACGCGAGATATTATCCTAAATTATGCGGGAAAAGAAACTCAAAGACGAAAAAAGGATAAATGTAATGAATCAAAGGAATTCCGCCCACCTATTACGAAAAAGCCTGGTTAGCGAAGAGATACTGTCGCAGCATCTACGGATTACACCGAGGCGTCGAAGATAAGCCAGATGGCTATGGCCGGTGGAACGAGGGTATGCTAATCGTGCGACGACAAAAGAAGCTTAAACAAAATTGACTCCGACCCACTTGGCATGCAGTGGTCCGTCGACCTTATCGAGGACATTACATTCTGACACCCCTTTCGCCTCGTGACTTGGCCAATCACAACCAACCGGAATGCCCGAGTGGCAAGGATGATTATCCACCATCCTCTTTAATACTAGTGCACGAATAAGTTTAGGCACTCTTGTAGCATGTGTATTTTTGTTGTATTGTTATAGAGTTCTGTGGGTCAGGACCCAGTATTTTATAGATACAGGTCTAACCCTAATGTATAAGTAGTGCGTATCAGGGTGACAGGACAATACCATCAATACAGGGGGATCCAACAGGCACCGTTTCATTCCCTATCTTGACGGACTGGCCACTTTCAGTTGCTTCTGGTGGCGCCGGCCATTATAGTTTGCCTACTCCTACCTGAGAGTACTGTCTCAGCTTGCTCCGACATTACACTTTGTCCTCGAGGAAAAAGTTTAAATCCTTCGGCTACAAAGTCGAAACTTTCCTAAATTGGCTTAGTCCAAGGTAATATACTTTCCAATTTCCACGGCAGAGTAAATCCACTGCCTGACAAGGCACGGAATGTTAGAGCTCGGATTTGAGGCTTGGGGAATATTGCAGAAAAGTGAACAGAGTACGAGCTTGTCCCGGAGGACAATTCTGGGTGGGCAGGGTGAAATAAACTTTGTAGCAGACTTGGAGGGTTGCATGGATATTAGGAAGAGCGCGTGATTCGGAGTGAGAAAAGGAAGAGAATCAGTCCCGTCTCTTAAGAGAATGTGTTCGGTCCCTGACGGAATCATGTGGAATCCTTGGGGATATTTTAAAATCCTTTCTTCGAAAGGAAAGGAAGGGAATCAATCTTATCTCTGATGGAAGATTGCGATGGAATTTATGGAATCCTTTAGGAATTTTCTGCCTAAGGGGATGTTCGACAGACCATGGCAAAAGTTTCACTGCTGGGCTCTGGCCCGTTACAAACATCGTCTTATGTAACCCGACCGGACAGTCGAAATCATAATATGCTCAACGCTCACTAGTATGTGCATCCATCTTCAGAGCATACTTATCAACCAGTATACCATAGATTAACCCTCATTTCGAACTATATTCTTGTTGAGATAGGTAGTTGTAGTGTTCTTGTTGAGTGTATTTTTTTATCAGAAGTGGGAATCGCATCTATTTAAACGTCCATCGCTAATCCGCCATAAGCTTTGACCACCGCGATACTCAACACTCCCACTCAATGGCAACCATCACCAATGATGTCAGTGACTATATAATCGGGGTTGTGACAAGCCCCATCAAAACCTTCAAAAAACTTCATTTGAGAAGAAAGGAAGGAAAGGGTACCCTGCGCCTCGGCCTGGTTCAAAGCAAAAATGGACTCGCGATCACTCGATGCCAAGCCCTTTCCGAAACCACTCAAATCTTTCCCGAGTCAGGGGTTTGGTGAAACCATCAGCAATTTGTTCTGTGGTTGGGACATAATTGAGCTGTACTGATCCGCTGTCCTGGACCTCTCCCTGCCACTTGCGTTGGATTTCCATATGTTTTGTGCGGGAGTGGTATTGTGGGTTTGAGGAGAGAGCGATGGCACCTTGGTTATCACCGCAGATGATCGTGGCGGTTGTTCCTTGGTTCATATTCAATTCATTGAGAAGTCGTCTCAGCCAGACTGCTTCTTTGGTGGCTTGTGTCTGCCCCAGAAATTCGGCTTCGCACGTTGAGAGAGCAACGACGCCCTGGCGTTTCGATTGCCAACTGATGGCCCCCACTTCCAATATTGAAGAGATACCCAGCTGTTGATCGTCTCGTGTCACGACATTCTCCCCAATCTGCATCTGTGAAGCCTTTCAGTTTCTGAGGCTGACCCTTGTACGCGAGTCTGAGGCTCTTGGTTCCTTTGAGGTACCGCAGGATGCGTTGAGCGAGTTTTATGTGTTGGGGCCCAGGATTTGCCAGAGACCTACTCGCCACAGAGACTGCGTACGCGATGTCCCCCCTGGTTCCAAGCATAATGTACATCAGAGATCCGACCATGCGTTGATCAGAGGTCCTCTGATCTGGAGGGCACGTGTAGTCTGGACTGTTCTCTGGAAGCGGTGAGGTTTCTATCGGCGTGCCGATGGGAGCGCAGTTGCCAATATCAAATTGATGAGCAACCTTGTCAATGTATGCTTCTTGACTGAGGGACAGTTTCCTGTTTTGGCGGTCTCGCTGGATGGATATCCCAAGGTAGTAGCTGCATGGGCCCAGATCTGTCATCTGAAAACGGTTCCTTAGGCTCCGCTTGATCTTCTTGATCTCTGCGATACTCGGACCCACGATCAGGAGATCATCAACATACACCGCGATGTACATATTGCTCCGAACGAAGATACCAAGATCGGCGGTGATTGGCTCGAAGCCAAGATTGCGCAGGAAGTTCGTGAGGGTCTGGTACCAGATGCGAGGAGCCTGCTTTAATCCATAGAGGGCTTTTCGAAGCTTGCAGACCCTTGGGGTGCCATCCGTCATGTGATGGGGCTGTTCGACGTAGATCTCGTGGTCTATATGTCCGTACAAGAATGCGGTTTTGACATCCATTTGCTCGATCTCGAAGTCCAGGGCCGCTCCGATTGCGAAGAGGGCTTTGTAGCTCATTGGCTTGACAACCGAAGCAAAGGTTTCATCATAGTCAATACCGTCTTCTTGTGTGAAGCCTCTCACCACCCATCTGCTCTTATGGCGGAGTACTTCGCCGTGAGGTCCTCGTTTGAGTTTGAAGACCCATTTTCTACTGAGAACTCGCCGGTCTTTGGGGGGATCAACAAGCTCCCACGTTTTGTTTTGCTTGAGTGAGTTCACTTCTTCAAGCATTGCCCTTTTCCATTCGAGCCAGCTTGTGTCGTTCTTCGCTTGATGCAGGTTCTTTGGCTCAAAGGGTTCTGTTTCCTCTGCAGCTACCGTTAAGAGTGTTGGGATGATGTTCTCTTCGGGTATATTCATTAGTGCAAGCTCTTCTTCGCTCTCATCAGACGTGTCTAATGTGACTTGTGGAGCACGAACCTTCATTTCAGGGTGATGATCTAGTGCTCCTTGTTGCACTTCATGAACTGGGTTGTCAAGTTCAAGTTGGAGTTCTGGATATCGTTGCCATTCTCCTGAACTTAGCCCTTGTTGAGCGTCGTCTTGTTGCTGGTCGCCACCGGTTGGTGAGTCAATCCTGAGGACAGAATCCTGATAAGCAGGTGATAGAGGTCCGAGGGCATCGTCACTCCGTATGGACGACAAGGTCCTATCTCCCTGTACAGCAACAGCTGGCTGCGAGTCTTCGTTACTCGATTGAGACGACGCTGGGGTTTGCGAGTTCTCGTTACTCGGCTGGGTAAGCACTCGCGAGTTATCGTTACTCCGAGGCAGTATGTGCGAGATATCGTTTCTCGGCTTAGGTAGGGCCCGCTCCGATGGTGCCATTGACAATTGGCGCCCCGAAGCAGGCACGGATGCTTGCCGTATACCTACCGACGGTTGATTTATTAGTCCCACCGTCTCACTCCCCCTGCGGCAGCAGCCGTTGCCACAGGTAAGCCGTCTTGTCTGGCTCCCACATCTTCTATAGTCTGTGTGGAGGGAGCTGTAAGGACTTCGTGAAATTCGGCGTTTGGTGTCCCAACGATTCTTCCGTCTTCCAGGAGGATACGGTAGTTGGTATTTCCTTCATAGCCTAGCAAAATGCATGGCCTTGTTCGCGGATCCGTGAGCTTCTTTCTTTGCTTTGGCGGGATCAAGTATTCCCCCTTGGATCCGATCACTCTGAGTCGTGATAGGTCAGGCTTATCGCCGTACCACGCTTGGTACGGAGTCATGTTGAGCTTCGATGACGGCGACCGGTTGGAGAGGAACGCTGCGGTTCGAGCAATTTCCGGCCAGAATTTAGACGGCAACCTCGCATGTGCTAGCGTAGGCCCAACCCTATCGTAAATAGTCTTGTGGGCTGTTTCAGCGACCCCGTTCTGCTGGTGTTGATCCACTCCTGTCACCTCAGCTTGTATTGCGCGCGAGAACAACATGAACTTCATCTCGTCTCCCACTTGTTCAGATATTCTGTCGAGACGTATTCGCCTGAATTTTCGTTTGGGGCGCTCATTGTGGTCGAGGAAGAACCGTAGTGATTCTATGACGAACTCTTGTCTCCGTGGGCCAGGTGACAAGAAACTCATCCCGTCGTCGGACGGAACTACTTGTCGAATCGAGATTGATAACGTCCCATATTGCTCCTTTTGCCGAAAACCTTATCACGTTGACTCCGAATGTTTCACCAAGAATCCGAAACTGAAACAGAAAGGCGGAGATGGACCGAAGCCAAAGCCAGGCAGGATGCATACGGGCACACGCAAACAGTTGAAGAAGCGGCCTTGGACGGATGACGAGGATGACGATGCGGGTGGTCCAAAGGATCCGAAGAAACCAACTTTCATGGCGACGAAAGCCTCCGAGAAAGATGTCAACGAAGCATTTGGAAACGATATCGAGGGCAATTTCGCCCCGTCCGACCATATTCCCATAATGATGGCGATAAAAACCCTCTCGATTCGCGACGCGTGGATCGTGGATAGTGGATGCGCTCAGCACGTCTGCAATAGTGCCTCGAGGTTTGTCCAAATGGCCAAGTACCATGGTCCCTCACTAAGAGGCGTTGACACCTCAACGGCTCCCTCGGGAGTGGGAACAGTGAATATCCTGTGCAATGTACGCGGCAGAAAGCAATGGCTTGTGCTTGATAACGTCCTCTATGTTCCATCTGCACACGCCAATCTCATATCGGTGCTCCAGCTTCTCAAACGAGGAGCAAAGGTCGAATTCTCAAGCCGGAGTGCGATCATTCACAACAAGTCAAACGGAAAGAATCTATATACGGCCAGCGAATATCATGGAGTCTACGCACTCGATCTGTGGACAAGTCTGACTTTTCCCTCTTACCATGTTAGCCCGCAAATGTCTCTGTGGCACAATCGACTTGCTCACATGAGTGATGCAAATCTTCGGCGACTCAAAAAGCAGGCTCACGGTGTTCGGGACATGGAGCCACGTCATCCATGCAATTCGTGTCTGCAGGGGCGAATGATCGAAAACCCACACCGCAGATCAGGAAATAGCAGGAGAGGAGAACATGGAATGGAGCTCCTCCATATTGACGTTGCGGGGCCATTTGACGAGGGCCTTGACGGCAGTCGTTACTGGCTGTGGGGTGATTGGCTGTGCCAATTAGGCTACTGAGCACATGGTGCGACCGTATCGCCGACCCCCAAGCCTACTCTGGGCTACATAATCTGCCGCGCTGCTTCATTTTTACGAAAACCAAAGACTTGTGATTCTAGCTGTCCGTGACGTTTCTCTCTATAATCGGCAGAAGTAGTAGAAGGGCGTCCATCGTGCGATGATCTGTTGCACTCCCATTGTATGTTTATGGTCAAAGAATGACACGACACAGTATGATAGAAAATAGAAGGTGCTTGGAGTACTGTACAAATAGAGCGAATAACAAAATCTTGAACTTGGGACTGAACCTCCAAAACTGGAATATGGGAAGCGACGAAAACTGGGATCCTCAATGAGTTCGATTAGGCCATTCTCGCTATCGGCCTTCCTCCTTTCATATTCCACTAGCCTATACACCTTGATTGTGCCCTGAGTGCTCAAGATATATTATCGATGGTCCGAATTGCGACGAAGAGCACGACAAAAGCAGGCTGAAGACGGAGTGTGGGCAAGAGTGGATGAAGTGGAAAATGAAACGGTCTCTCCAAGAACACCCTTAGCAGAATCAGGAATAGTTGACCTGATGGCTGCCAAGGCGCCGAAAGTAGGTGTTCCGGTACATGATGGCTCATCTTCGCGAAGAAGATTATTCGTTTGGCCATTGTGCCCGACAATACTTCCTGGGTGAGGAAACCGAATGTCCACATTCTCTTTGGTGACGCAGCCATTTACGTTGGCGATGAACATGGGTGGAAAATTAGGCGTTTGCTTTTGTATGCTCTTATAGGATTGTTGCAACGAGCCACTAGCCACGGTGATTGGAGCACAGTTCATATACATCTCACGATTCCCAATACGATTGAACCACGTCCAGGCCAAAGTATATTTCCCGGGGTTAATGCTTTGGGGAATTGCGAAATCGAGTTGAAGGCCATTGTCGGGAGTGGCGCCCCCAGCAAGTTTCTCTGCCTTCGTGGGGCAGCCTCCTTCATAGGACTTGATGACTGTCGGGACATATCCTCCCGCCAGAATAAGCAAAGACACTTTGTACGTAATCTTGCTAAGCTGCGGCTCCCGTCGTATGGATTCAGGGGCATTGGACCACGACCTGGAAGAACACATCTATCTACATGAATCCATCAATTTTCGCTTTAGGAGCATGAACACTGTTCACTTGACTGTTAACACGGTATCTAGCTGGTGATACCAACAGTTTGAACAGAGGCAGGATGTCGACGAACGATAAAATGTAACGTTGTTTGGGAAATGACGGAAGCGTGCGTCTTAATAATGCGTTCTACGTTATCGGTAGAATAAACAAATATAGACACCTAGCTAGTGGTAAGTTACAAGTGGTTAAGCCAACAAGTACAAGGTGGCCTAGATTTGATGCCTGGAGAATCTAGCATAAAGGAGCATGCAATAGGCCTAGAGGATTTTTTATAGGTAGGTAGGATGAAATAATTCTTGCAACAGACTTGTTGGGGGGAGGGGGGCTGAGTATTAGGAAATCTGCTTGATTTAGCTTGATTTAGAGTGCAGAATGTTCCCTAGCTCATCATACAGTACTCAATAAACACCTTACTTCTTTCACTAGGTTGATTTAAAAGATAAATGGATTAATCGGTTTGTTTATTCTCTTCAACGATGTTTTAGTCAGATTTCTGAGACAATCAATTGTTTAACCACCAGCTGATATTCTCTTCCAGTGGATCATGCTTTTACCAGCATTGATTGGCAATAAGGTTCTATGCCTATATTTTGGCAGCCCTGGCGATGATTACGTAGAAGGGAAGGTTATAATAAATTTTCAATGTTGGGATTCATGGAAAGTTCAGCGATTCGACCGCTTCATTGCCATCACTATAATTAATGGTATGCTGGAATTCACTCTTGCAGTCGTCCGGACTAACGATATACTCCCAATCGTAGCCATTGCAGATGTAAAAGATCATCTTGTTAGTGGGATTGCAGCGCGCGATCTCAACAATGCTGCCCGAGAGGATTACCGTGAACAGCAGCGGAATAGTGCGAATAAACCAATTAAATCAATTAAATAAAGTCCAAAAATTCTCCATATCAGGCAGCCTCCAAGCTGAACACCATCTCCATCAATAAAAAAAGGACGGCGCTTATTGTTTATTTAACATGAGTGGCTTTGAGCTCACAACCTCGCAAGAGGTAATACGTGCATTTCCGAATCCCCGATCGCCCTAAGGCTACTAGACCACTTATCGCCACACTCATATCTCTTTGAGAAAACCTACTTCAATCAGCTTATCTGTTGGCAGCCGGAGGTTAGCCATTTTATTCCTCGTGTTATCCCGGATTCAAAAAAGAAGTGTAGCAAGGCTTTTCGGACGAGCGCTGTGTCGGGCTTGATTTTCATCTGCTCCTTCCCCACAATATAGAGCACTTTGTGTGAATATGCCGCTTCCAGGTGAGTGATTTCAGGACCGACGAAGGCGTGGGTGTCTCTGCTGCTCTCCGCCGTCGAGCTGTCAGGGGTCACAGAATCCTTACCCTCACCCTCTTCGCCCAAGGGCACGCTGGCGCTTCTCGACATTAGACATTTCCGGACCTGGTCGACAATCACGCTTGCCAAGTTCGGTGTGATGGTTTCGTCTTGATATCCGTATCAAACAACCAGCCGGTAACAATTTGGAATGGTCAAACGCGACACGGTAAATCGATTCTCAGCGGCGACTGAAGGTTGCTCGAGGGGGCGGAGATGGAAGAACACAATCATCTCGGGCAAAGAGTTGAGCTTAAGCACAAACTGGCTGAACACGATCCTAGTCGCTTCGCCCGCTTTGTCGAAGAAGATCCCAAGACCGCGGTTGACGCTAACTGGAAGGTCGCCGTATCGGTTGGACAGGGACATTTGGCCATCTGAGCTGGATACGATGAAGTGTGATGCGGGGAACCGGTCCTCAGCTTCCGCAAACCACCGTTGTTCTTTGCCGTATCGCCACAAAAGAAACAGCATGGCAAGGACTGCAGCGAGGGCGATCGTGAACCAGGCACCTTGAGGAACCTTGATCAGCGCCGACGACAGATACGTACCATCCATGCAGGCCATGGTGAGCCATGGGAGGAAGACAAGGTATGGACTGATCTGCCAGACGAACATTGCAGCCAGAGACACCATGCAGATGTCGAAAAAGGTCACGAACATAACGCATACGCCGTACGCATTAGCCAAAGATGTTGTCTGAGGGACATAAAATGAGTTTCTGTGAAAGAATGGAACAGAGAAACGAAGATACCGCGACTTACGTTGTTATAGATCGATGCGATCAAGATAGTTTCCAACCATTAGCAGCCAATTCACGATGGGAATAAAGAGCTGCCCGCGGAATATCGGGGAAGTGTGAATAACTTTGATCTGAGGGAAATAGGAGAGTTTCATCATTTGCGCAAGAAGCTGCCAGCATTATCAGAGTCGAACTTTCCGCAAATAAAAGGTCGCAATTCTCTTACCTGGAAGGTTGCGGTAATGATGGCCTGCGATGCAACAATAGCAGCTAGAATAGCGATAAATAAGGCTGGATAGATGGTTCCCGGTGGGACGGAGTTGAAAAACGGACTCGAATATGCTTCTGGGTGGACACTGATGTATGCTGCCTGGCCGATGTATGCTAACAAAAGGCACGGAAACGTATAGCACGAGGAGACGATGTTTCCAACGTTTCTGTTTCGCAATTGGGACTAGAAGATGTACGCCCAGCAATGGATTATTTGTACACGCACAGTTCATATGAATGGTGCTTTAAGACATCCTCGTGAGAAACACAAACGGCTTTTCCTGGCTCGATTTGGAAGCTATCGGTGAATTTATCTTGCGCGGTGCCGTTTTCCAATGATATTGACTTGACTGCTATGCAACGCACGATGGACACCTCGTTTTGTGAAGGAAGTGATTGGGGTGACGGTCAATTTCTTGCCAGCAATGAGTTTTTTCGAAACTTCTAGTATGAAGTTCTACACACTTCTATTCCACTATTAGGATGCTCGACGTTAGAACATTCTAACTACTATAAGACTCCCATAGGCGTGTTAATCCCTAATGCACAAGACCAAAACCCCTTCCCATAGCAACCCTTCTATCTACAACCAGCGTTGCCCAGCCACGGGCTTTACTCCCTATAGGGCGTTTAGATGGGCTCAGTGTACGAGAACGAGGGTTCTCCTACGAGCATAGCACATATTAGTCTTGATGAGATAGAAAAACTCTTTTCTAGTCCCAGTCTTACACTTGTACTGTTCTTTGAATATTCTACTCTCTGAACAGCCGGCCATCCCGAGCCCCAGCATTACCGTATGTAATTTTCTCGCATCCTTCCATACTCAGAGCAGCCAAGCATAGTCTGAGGAGGGGATTACCGTGACCCAATCCCTCTTCAAGCCTGGCAATCTCCCGGTCTAGCTCGTGCTCTAGGCTCCTTAGGCACCTTAGAGTCTCGTCGAAGCCGCCAGCCGCCTCAATGCACTTTATCAGATGCTCCTTGACCTCCCTGGACAGTGGTTTAGCCTCAGCGGCCGCGCTGGTTGGGCGCTGTCTGAAGACGGCGAGGATGTGGCCGCACCGCTCGGGATGCTTCTCAAAGCCGCACACGACGGGGAAGGAGAACTTGCCCTCGTCCAGGTCCTCGGCGAAGCCCTTCTGGGCAGCGTAGGCACTGAGGTTCAGGTAGTCGTCGCGTATCTGGAAGAAGCGTCCCAGCAGCTGCATCAGCCTCTCCAGGTCCTCGACGACTGCGCCGCCCCAGCACGGGCTCTCAGCCACCATCAGTCGCACCAGCATGACGAACATGCCGCCCGTCTTGTGGTCCACCATCTTCACATATTCGCGCTTGCCTGGGCACTGTAGGTTGTGCTTCCAGTAGAGGTCCCAGCTTTGGCCCAAGAAGAGTGTCTCGAGACCCTCCAGCAGCGCCGCCAGTGCCGCCGGGCTGAGCGCCGAGCGCACCACCGCCGTCGCCTTCACAAACATGAAGGTCGCGCTGTTGATAGACTGTGCCGCCCCGAAGACGACGTGGGTGGCGGGAAGTCCGCGCCGCAGAGGCGAGTTGTCCTCGATGTCGTCCAGGATCAGCGAGGCGTTGTGCAACATATCGATGGCCGAGTTAATGTGTGCTAAGGCTCCCGGAGGCACCTTCAACCAGGCATTCAGGGCTTCGATGAGCTGGGTCCTCGTGCCCTTGGAGGGCATGCTAGAGATGTGTGTAACAGGTGCAGCCACGGCCAAGTCGTTGAGTTCTTCCTTCGGATAATGACAGACAGGATGCGTCTCATTGGGCGCGCTGTTGTTAAGACATTTCGGAGTTTTCAATATCGTGTCGTTGTTATCAGTACTCGGCTCGTCGCTCTTGGTGCCATTAGACGTGCCATTGGTAAGTCGCTCTCGCGTTTCCAATGGCGTGGCGTTGCTATCAGTGCTTGGCTCGTCGCTCTTGGTGCCATTGGGGGTGTCATTGGTCATCCATGCATTTTGCCTGGTACAAGCCGAGAGCCAATAGTGATTACCGGAGATCGACAGACCGATATACTCAATCCAACGTTTCAAATCCAAGGTCATGTCTGGGTGTGAACTGAGCAGATCGTCGCGGAGCCGACAATACTCAGCCTCAGCTTCCAAGATCATCCTTTTGACTTCTGCCTTGGCATCTGTACTCGAAAGTCCCTTGGTCCGGGACAACATCTCGACAAGGTTGACGATGCGTTTCGCCTTTCCGGTCTCAAGCTCCCAGACTTCACGTTCATAGCTGAAGTAGTCATTCGCCCAACAAAGAGCTTCCTCGGCGGCGGCAATTATGGGTTGGACTAAAGCATGTTGTTCCTCCGAGAGGTGAAGGTTTGTGGCAAACAGAACCATTGGCCAGAAAACACTGCCATAGTACACGGGTTAGTTGTACTGTCAAAACGTTAACAGAACGGCGCAGAGTGTGCCTACCTCATACCACCATTTGACATTCGTACACGCCAATAGTCTTCCAGTGTCTGTGGCACTTCGCTGCTGGCGTTCTCGGCAATATCCAGCCAGAGAACACGAAAAGCCTCAAGCATGTCCGTGCCAAGCTTGCGATCTGTTTTGATACACTCAAGAACACACTCGGATAAGAGCATCTTGAATTTCAATTGCGGTGACTCTGGGTCCCAATTGCGGTTGTCCTGAGGGTCCAAGGCAGGCCTCAGGCATTCATGCGCCGTCATGGCATCTTGGATGCTGAGCTCCTCATTCACATCTATCCAACCAGACAAGTCAGCCACATGCCTACCAGCTGATATGCATGACCCATTCAGTGAACTCACCGTCGTGAATCAGACCAAGGTCCAGTAGATAAGAAACAGTACCAAGCCTTTCGGGGATGGCCTCAGGGTAGAGGAACGAATTCCAATTCCCCACCGGGGAAACGCAGAAGTGAGTTCTCTTCTCTCTGCCGTCACGAACGTGCTTGGCCCAGTCTGCAGTGAACTTGACTGTTGCCCCGTCGGCAATGTCATTACGGGGATGAACGCGGATAGGTAAGGACGTGAAGCAGCCTGTTTGCTGAGCCTCCTCTGTTGGAATGAGCCTCGACAAATAAGTCAGTTCATCCATAATGGCTGGGAAGGTCAGGTGTTGAAAGTCCCCTTGGATTAGACAACTCCAATGATACACGACAACACGAAACGTGTGGTGGAGAATGCGTTTTTTCCTTTATCGCCTACTATATATAGGAATTGTGGAATGTTACATAGACCACCAGTCCAGTTATTTTGGCAGGCATATTAATATATACATATGGTCAATACCTCTCTCCTTTTTTCAACAATAAAACTTGGTACTTTATCGAAAGTTTATCGAAAATACTACGATGACATGCCGAGATAACATGCCGAGGGAAAATAGAAATCGAAATAAAGTAAAAAAGAAACATTGAACCTTATCCTAAATAGGTTTAGTAGGAAAGATGCGGGGTAAAGTCTATCATTGCTTGACCCGGGCCCGCCGTAGATAGAGACCCTCATGGTCAAGCAATGACTCACTTTACTCCCTATCTTTGACCATCTGGTATGGACCGCCCTGTGAGAATCGACGTAACTGAGGAGCCTAGGTCCAATACACGCCCTCAGAGACTCACACCGCGTGAAGAAGCCGCCTTCGACAAGTGGTTTACAGAAGCGCTGGCAAAAAACTGGATCAGCAACTCGAGCTCTCGGCATTCCAGTGGGTTACTCTTTGTCCGTAAAAAGAACGGTTATGACCGAGGTTAATCTCCCTGAGACAATAGTCTAGACTGAGGTGGGTTTGCACTAGCAGCAAGTAACAGGCGTTCTGACCAGAAGGTTTTGTCGTTCAATGGGTACCATAAGGCTTGATGCCTCTTAAAGGCGTAGTGTAATTAGAAACTTAAGTTACGACGTTAAACGCCATTTGAGCTGTGAGCCTATAAGTTGGATTTTGTAACCCCGCTCGATTTCTTAGCGTAAACTATATATCTAAAGGTATTCTGTAAGCGAGTTGTTCACCCCCAAAACACCGTACTTAATGGGATAAATTACAACCTGGTATCTCAACAATGGTGGTCTATAGGGACTTTGCCTTCTAGCACAATGCTTTTTGGTGATATCTAGGCACTTCAGGGAATTTAGAGAATTTTTGTAACATAGTGAATAAGATATATATGATGCTAGCTCATAGTAACGTAATTTTGGATACCGTAACATTGTAGGTTTTAGATTCCGTCAAAATTGATATATAGTGCTGAAAAGCCTTATCAACGGCTATCGGCAAATAATAAAATAAAATAAAAACGTGGTTGTTGAGATATCAGTGTAGAATATATCGTATTTAGTATGGTGTTTTGGGGTACACCACTCGCTTACAGAATACGTTATACGTTTCAGTCCGGTGTATTTCAATCTCCTGCAAAAAGTATAACAATTTATATGCTCATGGCTAAATGGCCAACTCTTGAGCCATGGTTTATTCTAGTCCACGGGGAGTCAAATAAACTTTCAACGGTCCCTTCTCCCGCATGAGGAAGATTTTCTGGTCAATCCAACTTCTGCTCTCATCCGAAATTCGGAGGTCAAAGTTCCATAGCAGTCGAGCAAATACAGTGCGTATCACTGCAGTAGCCAAACTTAGGGTAGGGTCAGCAAGTAAGAACAAGGTCTAATACAATTCAATCAGTGTGGCAAAGCTAATACGTACGCTCTGCCGAAACAGGCTCTGGGCCCGACTAGGAACGGCTGCAAGGCATGAAGATTGTCGCTCGCGTACTGGGGATCGCCCAGGAAGCGCTCGGGGTGGAAATTGAACGGATCCCGAAAGAGGCCGTCTTGGTGGTATAGCGCCCATTGGTTGATAGTAACGGTAGTCTAGAACATTTGTCAATCAAGGAGTTCCATCGAATACGCTTTGCGCTATGACTGCGGATTCTCATTACATCTTCAGGCACATAGTGTCCACAAATCAGCGCTCCTTCCCGTGGAGTCACCCTCGGCATTCCAACCGAGATAGGGGGGTAGAGCCGTAGTGTCTCGTTCATGCAAGCCTGCAGAAAGTTCAGGCGGCAAACAGACGAAAAGGTAATTTCGCATTCGTCTTTAAAATTGGATCGGACCTCCAGGGTTGCTTTTTCCAGAGCATCCGCATTCGTCAAGAGGTAGTATGTTAATCCGGAGAGCGCCGTCGCCGTGGTCTCTGCCCCAGCACGGACTAGGATGATAGCGTTGGCCTCGAGTTCCTCCATCGATAGTCCCTGTAGGAAATGTATTAGCTGATTACGACGGCATAATTATCTAGATACACTCACCAAGTCGTCCTTTCGCTTAATTAAGTTCCCGATTAGATCGGAGCGCTCCTCCTTGCTGTTATCCATAAGCTTCAGCAATTTCATCCTCGGCAATTCAGTGTGTTCCCTGGACCGCTTCCGAGCTGACTTCCCCACCAAGAAGAACAGAAGCTTTTTCAGTCTAGGAAAGTAGTTCAGCAGCCGTAGGAACCTTCCGGCACGGCTCAGCTGGAAGGTATCCCTAACCCAGGGATGATAGTCGGACATCTCAAGGCAGCCGAAAGCCTCACCTAACGCTAGGTCGCTATGGATGTCAAAGGTAGTGAAATCGTACCATGAAACTATATCCACGGGTGTCGCACCTCCGCCGCACCTCTCGTGCAGTCGCCGTACCAGCAAGTCGACACAAGACATAATGGTGGGCTCCTGGTCCCGCCGGCTCCTCTCGCTGAAACCAGGCTGCAGCGCGCGCCGGACGATATTGCCTTTCTGGAGGTCAACAGAGGCAAGGTGTTTCTCGGGGACAGAATAAAAGCGAGTATCTCTTCCCAAGTTCTGCTTTTGGCTGTAGATGTCGTCCCAGGCCGCGGCGTTGGCAAAGGATAGCTCGTGAGGCGCCACCCTCACCACCTCGCCATAGCGCCTGTGCAGGTCCAGGATATCGTCCGAAAGGGTGCCGGCCATCTCCTTGCAGAGGTAGGGGAATACCGAGGCCCGCATATGGATCGGACCGGGGAAGTTGCGGAGCGGATGGACGCAAAGATTGTAAACAACTCTGGTCACCGTAAACAGCACCATCTAGCTTGCTTGATCAGCGGGGGTCTCACCGAAAAAAAAAAAAAAAAAAAATTTCATCACGGCTGTCAGCATATGGAGAGGATATCGTACAATGCCAAAGAACTCCGCAAAGGCACTGCCTAGGCTGGAGATGATTATGGCCATATCTCAAGGCGGGGAGGTAGGTATGTAGACGGTAATATAATAGGTGATCAACACACAGTAAGCTAAGTACAGACAGAGCAGTAGGGCAGGCTCAACAACAGGACGTAGCTCAAAGAGCTACAAATTAGGGGCAGACAAGAAGATCCTGAAGATATCTTCGTATAAGGACAGTTAATCGACGTCTGGAAGCCAGCATAGCTCCCTAACATAGAAGCACCTTTTATTCTTCTTTTATGTGGGGTTATAGTCTGCCTATACCCTATGGTATTGGTGGAATGCTTACAAGCCTAACATCTAAGATATCCTAGCACGGCATATGTCCTTTAAAGAAGGCAAGCGAAAGCGAGATAGGCCCCCTGAAAGTGTGAATACTTACTGGGATATGGGGATCCACCCGGGTGTGATATTCTGTTTTTATGTTTTACAGTTGCCGTCGTCGTCCCCCTCACCATTGAAGACCACATGGCTCCCACAGTTTGACCAATGAGAGCCACCATAGTAAGTTAAAACATTTTCCAAAAAACCCATCTGCACCCAATCCATGGATCTCGAAAGCAACCACGGCCATTTGAGCCAATAGCGAAAATACCGCACACTCGCCTGATCCCTTTCGATGTTCCTCTCCTTAATCTACGAGACTTTAGTGGCTGGACATTTCTCAAATTGGAGGGTAACATTTGTTGCAGAATTGAGGCAGCATCGTGTCTACCCCGGGCTGCATCCACGATCCCACCGTCAGGCAAATGAAGACACGGCTGAGAACTAATGCGAGCATTGATTACGAAGTTCACTAGCGAGGGTGGCGGCACCGGGGCCGGATAAACTGGGTGGTTTGGTCTTTACAAAAGGCTTTACGCAGTCCGCCATACAAGAGATGTGCTAAGAGGGCTCATACTCTGCTGAACCATCGAAACTAACTTGGACTACACTTGTACATTTGCCTAGAATGATCACTCAACCCCTTTTCTTGCTTCAATGGCTACAGCCGGCAACCGTGGCGGGTGTCGTAAGTTGTCTTGCTACCCATAATTATGGAACTGGGCCCTTGATTAACAATGCCTCACAGATTAGTGTACTAGCACTTGTGTATATATCGTACGGTTGCTTCCTTCACCCACTTGCCCGTATTCCTGGGCCGGTGCTTGCGAAGTTCTCACCCGTATGCTGCTGAACAACTCTCTTTTCCTTAAACACTTCAACTGACTGGTAAAGTTGTGGATAATGGGCTCTCTCTACCGGGGAAGTTACAACTCAGATCTACAGCAATTACACGCCAGATACGGTGAGATATCAATAAAACTCTAATTCTGTTGTTTCGTTAAGGCTGACGACTGGATGCTCAGGAACGGTTGTGCGTATAGCGCCAAATGAGCTCTCATTTGCCACCCTCGAAGCCCAGAATGAGATCTACTCAAAGCAGGAAGAAGGCGGCTTTTCGAAAAAAGCTACCTTCATAGACTTCCTCACTGGCCTTCTGTTTGCGGATCCCTCGCCCACACTGCTCACAGTTTCCGATCTTGATATGCATAAGAAGCTCCGCCGGACCGTGGAACAAGCCTTCACCCCTAGTAGTCTCGCTGAGCAAGAACAAATCCAGAAGTCACACGTTGACAAAGCCATCCATCAGCTTGAAGAACATGCAGATCACGGAGACGAAGTCGATCTTCGAGCCCAGTTGGAGACGATACTGTGGGGAATCCTCGCAGACGTGACGTTCGGTGAGCCCCTGACAATGGGGAAGAAATGTATGGCGCAAATCATCTTAGTTGCCTCAAGATGGAGTATACTGATGTATCCACTGTGTAGCGACGTGGGAATTTCTTAAGACCGTGGGAAAGGCGTCTATGCCCATGGTAGAATTCCTCCTTTGGTCAAGCACCTTTCCTGGAGTAGCTCTGGTTTTACACGTTATCTTCTGGATTCTGCCTTACCAGATTACTCCCTTCTCTAAGATTCTCCCTGCTGACAAGTTCAAAGAGTACGTCTGAGGTTTTGAACAACCCCTATACATATTTCCTTGCTAATTCTTTTCTCCAGGTGCTTAGAACGACAGAATGCTAGCACGCGCAAGACATTCATACAGGCCATGACGGCCACTGAAAAACACGGTTTCTCTCTCAATAGTGACGCTATGGTTTTCAATATCATAGTCCTATTGTAAGTATATTTCATCTCTTCCCGCTACTGCACCGGAATTGATACATAATAACTAACGCCTGTTCTGCGCTGCAGATTCACTGGCTACCAGTCATCGAGCATCGCGGTGGTGGCCCTGTTTTATAACATCCTTCGCAATCCGGGTATATACGACAAAGTGCGCAAAGAAGTCAGGGCGAGTTTCCAGAACGAGTCTGACATCACAAACGAACGCCTACTGCAGCTGCCCTTGCTCAATGGCTGCATTCGCGAGGCGTTGCGTCTCCTGCCCCCGGCCAACGGCAAAACCGCCCAGCGGACCGCCCCGGAGTGCACCATAGCCGAAACTTACGTTCCGAAGGGCACGATTGTATCCGCCGATATTTATAGCATCCACCGGTCATCCCGGTACTTTAGGGAGCCTGATTCGTTTCAGCCCGAGAGGTGGGTATCCCACGGCAAGGATACATTATTCGAAAGCGACAACCGCCGGGCCTATCGGCCGTTCTTGATAGGATCTAGGGCATGTGTTGGAAAGAACTCAGCCCTGCAGAGTTTGCGTCTCATTACGGCAAAGTTGCTCTGGAAGCTTGATTTCGAAATGGTAAACAAGGACTTTATCTGGGAGAGAGATGCTGTCAGCAGCTTGATCTATACCGACTATCCCCTGATAGTTCGAACGAAGAGGGCTGGCTAGACGGGGGGCAGCGACGGCACCTTCAGCGTTGAACACATTGATGATCGTAACCTACTGCGCGAGGAGATTCGAAAACACCATGCTATGACCCTCACGGCTCGCGTGTGCCCCATAATTTCCACTCTTTAGGAACCAATCAAATGTGGAGAGACCCGAGCCGGGAACGACATCGCTCCAGCTAAGGATAGCCGTGTCACGGGACGACCCCCCCTCGCGGGTAGGGGGTGTCCCTCAGCCAAATTGCAATTCTCAGCCATATTGCAAATTTCCTACTTTTTCAACTTTACGCGTATTCCTAGCCACCAAAAATGCCTAAAAAAGCTCTTGATGAGGAGGCTATTCTAGCCAAGGCATTAGACGACTATAATATGCAAAAATTCTCTTCCCTACGTAAGGCTGCGGACCACTATCGCGTGTCGTACTCGAAGCTCCGCGGTCGCAAAATCGGACGGACATCTCTCTCCGATCGCCCTACCACCAATAATGCACTGAATTCGAATCAGGAAAATGCATTAATTAGCTGGATCGAATTGCTAAATTCTTGCTATACACCTCCAACTGCAAAAGACATTAAAACTGCCGCAAATCGCCTATTGAAAATAGCAGGTTCGGAGAGAGTTGTCGGCCTAATGTATAGCTATTGGCTTATACGTCGTCTACCTCCACACATCAAGCTTATTACCCAAAAACCAAAGGAATTTTTACGAATTCAAGCTGAGGACCCTGGGGTTATTAGCCATTGGTACGATAGGCTTGAGTGTCTCTACCGTGAGCATAGGTTTGAACCTCATGAGATCTACAATTGGGATGAAATCGGCTTCCAAAATGGCGAAGGACTTAACCAACATGTCGTCTCTACGCGTCAAACTGCTAGCATTGCTACTGGAGATTGAGGTGAAACTATTACTGGCATTGAATGTATTGCCGCTGATGGCTGGGTGATGTTTCCATGGTTTCTAGTCAAAGGCAGCGTCCACATGGAAGACTGGTATAGTGATATATCAACCTCTTCTTCGGCGTATAAAATCATCCGTTTGACGTCTAGTGGCTGGACGGATAGTGAAACTGCCTACCGATGGCTCTGCTCGTTTCATGAAGCTACAAAAAACCGCGTACGATGCGGGCGACCGAGGCTTTTGCTAATGGATAATCATACGTCTCATACAACTATCGAATTCCTCGATTTTTGTAAGGAAAACTTGATCATTCCTTGGTATTTTATGCCTCACACGACTCATATATGTCAGCCCCTTGATGCTGAGGCTTTTTTAAGCCTAAAGCATGAGTTTAAAATGGCGAATACTGAAGTTGTGGCGTGGGGTGGAAGCAATGAAAAACGCGACTTTTTCCGCAATATTGACGCCGTCCGACGCCGCGCCTTAAAGTCCAAAACTATCCAAACCTCGTTCAAATCTACTGGTATCTGGCCACTAGATCCGACACAAGTTTTGGATAATTTGGGACAGTATTCGGATAAAGAGGTGCTACGCATGTACGACGAGCCGTCACCCGCCCGCGAATTCCCAAGTTCAGCAACTAATTCCCCGCCTAATTCCTATCCGCGCATTGAAAAATTAGAGAATACGGTTTTTCCACTACTTAAGAACCCGACTCCTGATTTACAAAAAATTCGGAAGCATATACGGCGCGCAATTGATGCCGGATTTTGGAAAATCGTCTCTATATAATGCGGAACTTGCGGAGATGAGCCTTACGCGCGCCCGTGGCCACAAAAACGCCTGGAAATAAGCCAAAAAGTAAGCGATGGGTAAAGAGAGCTACGAAAAGCGCCCTTTCATTAATTTCAGGTAATAGGCTAGTACAGCATAGGTGTGAGAAAGAAGACGAGTCGAAGCTTCGCGCTTGGCGGAAAGACGCAGTGAAAATGGCGGCCGATTTGGCGGCTAAGAAATTGGAGGAAACACTTGAAATGAGGAGGATGATACATTATTGGCTAATGAGGCTATTGACGGGTTTTATTTCATGGATTCTGGACCTCACGCGCCTAGGAAATAGCTAGAAGTTGAAGAATTGAGAATTTGCATTATGGCTGAGAATTGCATTATGGTCCTGTGACACGGCTATATCTAGACCGGCCGCACGTGGCCACCATGAGGCTTTTGGACTCTCAGTGTAACACAGCGCTCGTCTGAACATCCCATCATCACCATCACGAAACCGGTCACGTTCCTGTTAACGGTTCCATCAGTGCTAGGAACTCATCTCTTGACCCTAGGAGTTCGCTTGCTCCCAGAAGCCCCGGAAACGTTTCTGGGCGTGTGAGGGTCTCACGTATACATAGAGGTGGATAGTGTCTCAAGATTAACAATCAATATTAAGAACAACTATAGTTGACTCTAGATACAAGACGTAGCGCGAGGAAGCAAAAGAAAGGTAGCTTCCTCGCGTTCAGGGGAACCCATGTACACTAAGTGGGTCCCGTGCGGATCATATCTCCATCCGTTCCGCATGCTTCATCTATATCCTTGACAGGAACGTAGAGTAAGATCCCAGGGCTAGATCTCATTTTCCTAGAAACTAAGAATAGCCCCAGGAGCTAAATTGAGGTTCCTAGGGGATAAACAGCTCCTAGAAATGCTTTTGAGGTTCCCAGGGCCAACATATTGGTTCCCAGAGTAAGTTAACAAGCACGAGAGTTTGTCAGTCTCTTGCCTGTGGCTTTTCTGCCAACAATCCCCGCCTTCACGCGACACGGCTCCACTCAGATGAATCTGTCAGAAATATGGTGGATCTGCGTGTGGATTTCTGGGTATTTACCCAGAATATCCAGTGGTGTTGCAAAAGTATTTGGCCGCCGGTACTTCGGGCTCTAACCGCCATTTAGACCGCCTACTATATTAGTCTATCAACCCTTAACACGCTAGTACATACGCTACATATTAACGCGTTTCAAAGCATATTTCGTGATTTTCTTTTTCAATTATGCCTTCTATAAGCCGGAAAAAAAGCGTGACTACCTTACTAGAACTAAGACATATGGTTCACATACTACCAGTAATTTTCTGCCAGGCAGTAATAAAAAGTGGGTCCTATTGCGAAGTATCGGCGGCCAAATACTTTTGCAACATCACTGTCTTACGACATCAAATCTGACACCTCACATAAAAGTGCATATTAGTCTTTGTCAGCATATCCTACAAAATTGTCAAGTTCATAGTTTTTAGTTAGAGAGAGTTTAATATTACCGTTAGGAAACCCATACAATGTTGGTCACTGATTTCTGTTAGAATCCTCTGTTTCATTGGTCACCGCCGTTAGGTATCATGAAAACAGAACTTTTATCTACTCGGGCCCTTCCAATGCTTAGCTAAGCTAGTCGCCCCAGACACCTTCGGTGTTGGGGCTCCGGTTTTAGACCATACTTTCGGGCCCTATTTTGGTGCCTAACCATACTTTTCACCCACCTCGTAAAACGTCAATTTTCGTAGCATTTTTGTACAGCAAATTGCTGCCATAAATATTGCATTCAAAAGAGCATTGCGTAAGCTATTTAATGTAAGCAAATCAGAATGCAATACATATTATATTGGTAGGATCTTCGCAGTATTCCTCATGCTCTTGGCGTACATGCATTTCTCAGCCATTTCTCTCTCATTTTTCTCCAGTTTTAGCTCCAATTTTATCTCCATATTCCTCGCTTTCTCGATGGACTCGATTCAGGCATTGGCAGCGGTGGCATCGGTGGCGGCGGCGCCGGCGTATTTAGGCTGGCATTCACCCTCGCAAGAAGCTCTGCTGGCATAGGGTTCTTAGCCGCTTTCCTACCTAGTGATATCGCCTTCTTCTCAGCCTGATCTCTCTCTCTTTGCTCTCGCTTGCGTATATCCTTATTTGCATCGCCTTTTGTGAGTGGTCCAACTATCCTGATCTGCCGGCCAGAGGGCCTCGTCGTCCGATTGTGGGTATGGGTAAGAAGAAGCTGATTGTCGGCACGGAACTGGGCAAGGCCCTCCGTCGAATTTCCTACACTAAAGGTTAGATACACGTAAAATAACGGCGAGGAAGCGAGAAACCTACCTGCAGTGCTACAAATAAGCGTAGACCGGTGTAAAACTCTCTCCACGATAGATAGGAAGCTCTTTAGACGACGTCTCTCTCCGTCCTCGCGATGATTTCTCTCCTTAGCACTCTCATTATTCCTCTTCCTTATTGACGTGGCCGTCCGCTTAAGGGTAGCTAGACGGCGTCGAGCAGCGGCGATATCATTGAGAAGCTTCTGAGACGTCGATTTCGTGTCTAGAACGTCTCGCGGCGGTGACATAGTGATAGAGCTAGCGAGCTCGCGGTCTTGAGCTTCATCTCTGTCTCCATCTCTATCAGGAAAGCCGTCTACCCATATATCATTAGTCTCATCATTAGCATCTCTGATCTCTTGCTCCATGGCTAATTGCGCATCAATAGGGACGATTCCAGTAAGGCGAAAACCTTCCTTAATGACGTGCTCCGAGAGAGCATCCATCACCTCTCGAACCTTAACGATTTCGCGAAAAAGTCGACTTTCCGGGATACCGAGCCACCCCATTGGACAACCTCGACATTATTTCTCCGATATAGCGCTTTATACCGTTGAAATGGAACCGAATCGAGGGGCTGGCATATATGGGAGACATGCGGCCGGAAGGCGTACGGAGCAATGCGATTTTCCCAGCATTTTAGGATGAATTCAGGCGTGCAGTGAGACTTATGGCCGTCGAAAAGAAGAAGGCGATAACCTCGGCAGTGTACTCGGTCTGCTTCTTCGCGTATTGCTTTTATCTCTCGGCGAATAGCTGCATCTTGGCCGTATCGACGGCGACCGCCATGGCCACGAGCTTCCGCTATCCCATCATCACTTTCGGCGTGTTTATGGCGATAGACTCGGTGGTTTGTGGCCTCGATAAATGAGTCTAGCCATTCTAATGCTGTGGTATGAGACGAATAGCCCTTTGGTGTCGGTTTTATCGTCCAATCATCAGGCATTTCGTCAATATACCAGCTTTCCTGGTGATACTGAGCTTTCACTAGAAACCACGGCGGCGTCTTCCAACCATCGGCAGCAATGCATTCAATAGCGGTAATACTTTCGCCATGGCCCCCGGTTGCAGTGAGGCTAATAGGTGAAGCAGATACCACTTTTTGAGCCTTTCCTTCGCCGATTCGGAAGCCGGTTTCATCCATGCTATAGATGTCCTTCGGTCGAAACCCATACTGCTTAATACACTGCTCTAGGCGGTCATACCACATCTCCGTAAGACCTACGTCCTCGGCGCCCATTCGCTTCGGGTCCTTCGGCTTCTGCTTAATAAAATGGAGGTGGGGTGTAAGCTTTGGCAGTCGCTTAGTGAATGCGAGGCCCCAGCCATGCCAAAGAGGCTTCCTGTCCGGGTTTGATCGATGAATAATGTCATCGGCGCGCTACTGTATCGATGCTGCCGTCGGGGGGGGCGCCGCAGCCATCCATAAAGATAACCCAGTCAAGCAATGCTTTTTCTTGGACCGAGTCCAATGCCTTATTGGTGGCAGGTCGGCCAATTGCTGACCCGGCACCCCGAATACGGCCTAGCAGGGTCTGGTAACTAACGTCGAATTCCCTTGCCAATGGTTTGATCTTCGGCTCATTACGGTCATGGTAAGCGGCCAATGCATTGGCGATTTTAAGCTCATTTTCATCCGACATGATAGCGAGAAGTGGTCGAAAAATGAGCTATTTCATGGAGATATTAGCGGGAAAACGTCATGGTAAGGCCAATATTAGATGCATTGCGTTCTGATTTGCTTACATTAAATAGCTGAGGCAATGCTCTTTTGAATGCAATATTTATGGCAGCATTTGCTATACAAAAATGCTACGAAAATTGACGTTTTACGAGGTGGGTGAAAAGTATGGTTAGGCACCAAAATAGGGCCCGAAAGTATGGTCTAAAACCGGAGCCCCAACACCGAAGGTGTCTGGGGCGACTAGCTTAGCTAAGCATTGGAAGGGCCCGAGTACCACTATAGTTTCGAGCTCAGACATTTTCGGAATCACCGAAGCAGTCAATAGCTACTGGCTATGGTGTATTGGTGTCCAGCACTTACGAGATGAAACGGTCGCGTTGTCCTTCTGAGTTTAACCATCGGTATTTCATTTCTTGCTAATTTGCTTCAAAATTGTATATCACGGCTATAAGTTCTAGGGCTCCGAAAGGAATAAATGAATGCGAATATAGGGCATATTCATATTCGCACCCCGCGAATATGAATAAATGAATATCGTATTCGCGCGAATAAGCGCATTATTCATATTCGCATTCATATTATTCATATCATGCATTTTGCGCGCATTAATGGATCTTCCGTTTCCCCGGTTTTTGTATTACAGAAAAACACGTTTCCACTAGCCAACTTGTATTTCAAGTGCGATCACGGCCTCGGTCAAGCATAGTAGAAAATATTTCCCATGCAATCCATGTTCTGAAGTATATACCCTATATTGTAGGGCTCGGTAAGCTCTATATATTCTGCGTCATTATTTTTCGTGATTTTTTATAGGTAAATGTCTAGTTTTGGTGACCAACGGTTGCTACAGAAAGTCGAGCGAAATTATATATATCTACAAGTCGTCTTTCCACATCTTTGCTGCTCTAGTTAAATCGACTACCATAACTTCTCTTGTTCCCACTCGATCTACTCCAAAGTTTAGATTTATTATAACCATGACTATTGGCACGTAAAAACGCGTTTATCATGCCACCTTAACTCACTTCTCATGCAGGTTACAGATTGTTTACCATGAGAGTCGCGAGTGAGAAACCGCCGCGTGTAAAGAAAAGACCTATCAACTTTCCACTTTACTGGGATTCGCATCAGGCGAAAGCATAGCTAGTGTTTCCCCATCATTGTTTCATTCTCACCGTTCATTTCCGACCCGCCATGCTATCAAGTATTGTCGAGTGATACTAAAGGTGTGCCCCGCCTCGCTCCCAGGTACCACTTGGACTACTAACACTGAGCAAATACAGAATGGCATCCTCACCTAACCCATTTGTGCGAAAGACGCGTGGTCTTCCGCGTCGCGACTACAATGCTCTGAACAATGGCACACCCTCCCTACTCCCTGAGCCATGGGAAGGAAATATTCGTGAAATAGAGAGCCCCTGCTCACCAGCACCATCCGAGTTTACAGAAGGCGAAGAGACGTCCCCATCCGTGCTGTCCTTACCCATTCCCAGGTCTTCGCCCGCACCGCTAGATCCCACGCTATCAGGGTTGACTAGCAGTCAGAGTAGCCCACCGACTTACAAGAGACGAAAAGCCAAGTCATATTCTAGCTGGACCCTCGAGCATTTCTGGATCACAAAGCTAGACAACACCTGGCGTCGAAAGGGTGGGCCACCAAAGAAGGATCGGCTCTTAGTCTGTAGGCAGTGCAGTTGGTCATCCAGGGATTCGGCACGCTATGGCTCCACTTCGAATTTGTTGGCCCATCTCCAGGCTAAGCACCGCATCAGTTCCGGATCAGACATCACGTCATCGTCAACTATCGGAACGACCCTGGACAGTTTTTTGACACCTGCAAAAGAAAGGGCGGGCCTTGAACAAATGCTGATACAATGGGTTGTCCAAACGAGACAGCCGTTTACGGTAGTGGAGCATCCGGCATTTAGGGCACTTTTTGAAGCGACAGGGGCTATATTACCCATCAAGACGGCCGACACTCTCTTCAACAGGATCAAGGAGGAATTTCGCAAAAACCGGACTTGCGTGAAAGAAGAATTAGCCAGTAGTAGTCGCACGCTTGCGCTGTCTCTTGATGTTTGGACATCGGAGAATCAGATAGCGATCATGGGCATCATTGGCCATTGGATCTCACCCGAGTTTGAGAAGCGGGAAGAGCTTCTGGAGTTTACTGACATATGTGGACCGCACTCTGGGGAGAACCTTGCGGAAATTGTGATTAGAATGCTCGAGGAACTAGACGTCGCGCCAAAGCTCCTCACAATTACGGGGGATAATGCTGCCAACAATGGAACTCTCTGCGACAGTCTTCACGCCGAGCTTCTCAAGAACTATGACGATAAAGACGACCAATTTCGCATCAGACCTCTTATGCGGTTTCGTGGACGGCAGAGCTTCATTCCTTGCCTTGCCCACGTCATAAATCTCATTTGCAGGGACGTACTTGCTTCCCTGAGGGCCGGCTCAGCTCGAGAGGCGAAGGTTATACTGGACGACATGGCCACACAAAGTAGCCCAACATTCACCTCTGCCCACAGCACGAAGGGAGCAATCATGAAGATCCGGCTGCTGACCCTATGGGTTGCCCGCAGTCCACAGCGCCGCCAAAATTGGAAAGATGTGTCACCAGCCAAGCAAGTGGGCTACGATGTTGACACTCGATGGAACTCAACCTATATCATGATAGCGGACGCCCTTCGGCTACAGAAGGAACTTGGACAATTTGTTCGGATGCATCCAGAAGTTCACGCCCTTCAACTAAACGAGAACGAATGGTCGATTCTTCAACAAGTAGCGAAGGTTCTTAAGCCATTCTGGGATCACACCAACTCCGTATCAAAATCTTGTCCCACGATTGTTGAGAGCTTGCCTATCTATTGGAGTCTAGACGACCTCCTTGACGAGGTTCAAAAAGCCGAAGGTGATTTTGAAGGTGTGGATACTGAGATCCGGGATGCGGTGGAAAGAGGAATCCAAAAGATGAACAAGTTTGCGAGGAAGATGGACACCAATCTTCTTTACTACGTGGCTTCCGTCCTAGACCCGCGTATTAAATCGTCTTTGATTGGATCGCAGATGAGCGAGCAAGATGCGGGACTGATCATCTCTCAAGTGCGGGAGTTCCTAAAGAGGGAGTATCCGCAGGAGTTGTCCATGTCGTGTGTAGTGGATCGCCCGCCGGGAATGTCAGAGACTATGTGGAGGACGCTGCGAAAAGTACAGCCATCACAGCGGACGCTTCTTTCAGACATTGATAGATATCTAGACGCGCCACCGGTGAGTTGGTCCCACCATATGATTGACGATGCAGACGAGGAATGGGTTCTCAAATGGTGGAAGGCAAATGTATTTAGCTTTCCACTCATGGCAAAGGCAGCCCGAGATTTCCTGCCAATTCCATCAGCGGAGGTAGGGATTGAACGCGAGTTCAGCAATGCCAGGGATGTATTGGGGCTCAGGAGACACTGTCTAAATGCGGAGACTATGCGGTGGCTTATGCTACTGAAGGGACAGTATCAAAAATAGCGTTCCAAAAAAGTGATTGTGATAATATTAAGATTTATGGGAATGTAATATCTTAGAGATGGTGAACGCATTTGTTACAGAGTCTTAGGCACATGAAAATGGGTTCCTGTATTGAGACGTAACAACATGAACGGTAATGTATGCTCTCTCAGTATATGAATAAATATGATCATTCATGAATATTCATGAATAATGCAATATGAATAAGTCTCTTATTCATATTCATATTATGCAATTCATATTATTCATATTCGCAAATATTCATGAATATTCATGAATGATCATATTCCTTTCGGAGCC